CCAGCAGTCGCTTCCAACAAAGGCCCTAACCACCTAACCCTTAGAGCCAATCCTTATCCCGAAGTTACGGATCTAATTTGCCGACTTCCCTTATCTACATTATTCTATCAACTAGAGGCTGTTCACCTTGAGGACCTGATGCGGTTATGAGTACGACCGGGTGTGAAATTATTCGCTCCCTAGGATTTTCAAGGGTCGTCGAAAGCGCTCCGGACCAGGCATAAGTACCTAGCTCTGCCGACAGACCTACCCCTTCTCCAAGTAAATTGATTCCGAGGTGGGTCCCGTCGTTAAGAAAAGAAAAGAACTCTCCCCAGGGCTTCCGCCGACGTCTCCTAGTTTGTTTGCGTTGCCGCCAAAAATCCACATCCCGGCACAGGAATTTTAACCTGTTTCCCTTTCGATAGGTCGGTGCGAACAAGCGCACACTTTCATACGGAACTTCCCTATCTCTTAGGATCGGCTAACCCACGTTCAATTGCTGTAATCGTGGAACCTTTCCTCACTTCAGTCTTCAAGGTTCTCACTTGAATATTTGCTACTGCCACCAAGATCTGCACTAGAGGCCGTTCCACCCAGCTTCACAGCCAAGGCTTCCATACGGACCCCCACGCCTGCCTACTCGTCAGCGCTTCGCTAAACACTGACGGTTGGGTATCGGTGATACGCTTGAGCGCCATCCATTTTCAGGGCTACTTAATTCGGTGGGTGAGTTGTTACACACTCCTTAGCGGTTTCCGACTTCCATGGCCACCGTCCCACTGTCTAGACTAAATAACACCTTTTCTGGTATCTGATGAGCGTATACTTTGGCACCTTAACCCAACGTTCGGTTCATCCCGCATCGCCAGTTCTGCTTACCAAAAATGGCCCACTAGAAACTCTCATTCGCATGCCCTCGTTCACTTAAGTAACAAGGGCTTCTTACACATTTAAAGTTTGAGAATAGGTTAAGGAAGTTACTTCCCCAAGGCCTCTAATCATTCGCTTTACCTCATAAAACTGATGCGAGTTTCTGCTATCCTGAGGGAAACTTCGGCAGGACCAGCTACTAGATGGTTCGATTAGTCTTTCGCCCCTATACCCAAATTTGACGATCGATTTGCACGTCAGAACCGCTACGAGCCTCCACCAGAGTTTCCTCTGGCTTCACCCTATTCAGGCATAGTTCACCATCTTTCGGGTCCCAACAGGTATGCTCTTACTCAAATCCACGACTTAAAAAGACGTGAGGATCGGTCGATGGTGCACCTTGCGGATCCCACCTGAATTCACTTTCATTGCGCCTATGGGTTTGCCACCCAAAGACTCGCATACATGTTAGACTCCTTGGTCCGTGTTTCAAGACGGGTGGTAGAGGGCCATTATGCCAACGCCCTAAGCGTAAAGGTGCCGAAGGCCCCGCTCTTGCGAGTACGCTGCTGTCCTCGGTCTCGGTCACTGTATCCAGTAGAAGGCTATAACACACCCCGAGAGGTGCCACATTCCTTCCACCCTTCTCCAGCGCCCAAAACCGACGTTGGCCTGCAATCTGAGAAAAACACCCAGCAAAAGCAAGGCTGAATCCCAGACCGCATCTCTGACCTCCTACCCTTCCCTTTTTGGCAATTTCACGTACTGTTTAACTCTCTTTTCAAAGTTCTTTTCATCTTTCCATCACTGTACTTGTTCGCTATCGGTCTCTCCCCAATATTTAGCCTTAGATGGCATTTACCACCCATTTTGAGCTGCATTCCCAAACAACTCGACTCTTAGAAAGTGTATCACAAAGCTTCGGGCGCTCCATGCCATGTACGGGATTATCACCCTCTATGATGCCCTTTTCCAAGGGACTTAGGCATTGGTCCGAAGCGGAAACACTTCTTGAGATTACAATGCGGACGCCAAAGACGCCAGCTTTCAATCTTGGGCTCTTCCCTCTTCACTCGCCGTTACTAGGGGAATCCTTGTTAGTTTCTTTTCCTCCGCTTATTGATATGCTTAAGTTCAGCGGGTAGTCCTACCAATCTGAGGCCGATGAATTATTATAAATCCCTTCCTAGCTTCCTAAAAAACTCGGCATGGGCGGGTTTCAGAAGCACTCCAAACAGCAAGCCGTTGCGTCCAGCTCCTACCCATCTCAACCTCTCCGAAGTCCTGATAGTATCAAAACCCGGCAGGGAAGAGAGAGCAAAAATCGAGCTTTCGTCCGTCTTGCCTATAAAATGGATGCGCTAATCTATTTCGAGGGAGCCACGGTAAATGGCAAAAACCCTCAATACCGATCCATCAACCTTTTCCAAAGAAAAAAGCTGTCGTTCGAAACAATTCGCGGCCCTCAAACAGGCATGCTCCCCAGATTAGATCTGCCGGGAGCGCAAGGTGCGTTCAAAGATTCGATGATTCACTTCTGCAATTCACATTACTTATCGCAATTCGCTGCGTTCTTCATCGATGGGAGAACCAAGAGATCCGTTGCCAAAAGTTGTTTTTAAAATTAGACGACCGCATTACCAGTCGA